AGGTGAGCTGGTGTGCTTGAGCTGCAGCACGTAGCAGAATGATGAGTGAAGAAAGACGCAGAGAGTTTATAGAAAAGCACATTCCAGAGGAAGCAATGGTAGAGCTCCATCTAAGTTATTTTAGGAGAGGAAGGGATGATTTCTGAGGAAATAAAAACTAATAATAATCTAACTTTGATGAGACTTTGAGCTTAAATCAACGACAGGAGGCGACTTTATTGCTTCCATCATGTGCTCAGTGAGCAGACAGCTGTGACAGCCATAATATGTCACTTGTGTTTATTGCTTATTCTGCTGCCTCCAAGTAGTTAAAAAATCTATTACCTGAATTAATGGAGCTTTAAGTTAGCATGTTATTGCATGAGCATAAACCTCGAGTTGCATGTAAATGACGTGTCTTCCTGAAACATTTCCTCTCTCTGTGCTTAATGTTGTGTTTGATTTACGCCGGTCTGCACTCCATCCACGCCGCGGTCAAACTGTCACCAGCTCGTAGATCAGAGTCTGAATCAGAGCCGGACCTGTGATGAAGTTGGACATTTATTGGTGAGCTTTGTGGTCCAGGGACTCAGACTCCCCCACAGGTTTTCTCATTCAAAGGTGTGTATGTGCAGCCGCAGGTAGAGGAGATGAGCGATGGCAGGCAGGAGATTTCACCTATTTCCATTATTATCAGTGGCTGGAGGCGAGCGGTCAGACCTGCTGACAGTTTTCTTCCTTTTTTTTTGTCCAGTTTTTCATGAAGAGAAACACTCTGTGAAATTAAATCTGTTGACTGGCTTCCATTTTCTCTCTCCTTTTTTATTTCTATTGGTTTATCTTTGACAAAAACAGAACAGACACACTACGGTGAAACAGGACGGTGACCAGCAGTCAGGGGAATGTCTGACATCATGGACAAAACACAAAATGTAAAAATAAGTTCAGTATTAAGATCTGTGTCCTTTAAAACCCATGACTTTGGTTCATGCTAAGGCAGGTTCTTTTAACCCTGTTCAGGACTTTTGGGCTCTTTTGGACCCATTTGGTTTAGGCGACAGCTATTGTTTGTTTTTTAATAATTTTTTAAAATAATCGATCAGATGTTTGCAGGCTTTTCTTTACACTGTCAGTTATTCATTCACACACATTGATTCTGGTGGTTCTGTTGCCCTGGGGCGGGCTGACAGAGGCCCGGCTGCCATTCTGCCCTCAAACAACCCATCCGTCCACATCAGGTACGGTGGTGAAGCCCAAGGACACGACCACCATGACACGGGTTGCAGGGCGGAATCGAACTGCCGACCTTCTGGTCATTGACTGAGCCGCTCTACCACCTGACATATCGTCCTTAGATATAAAAAGAGGGACATTTGTCCTGCATTTGGAACCAAAATTCCATCAACTTATCAGACAATTTATTTACTATGGTATAAAAGTCTGTAATGAATACCAACAAGTATTTGGCATGTATTCTTATTCAGGGTCTGATGGACCCTGAAAGTCCTGAACAGGGTGAAGGATGAAGGAGTCTTCTGCTCTTAATGTCCTACAAGACTAAAGCACCACTAAAATCATTTATAAAAACACAATTAATCACTGATTAATACTAAATGTCACCTGACCTAATGCAGGTTTTACTCCACATTCTGCTACTATCGGCTAAATAACTGATCAAAGCTCTCTGACAGCAACATGCCAAAGAAGTCATTTCAGAGCAAAGCTGCCGTGTGAAGCTCTACGAGGACACGAGTCAAAGATGTGCTTCAGTGCGGTAGGTGGGGACGACCAGCGGCTCCGCTCCGGCAAACGTCGTCATCCGGCGAACGCTGACCACCAGAGTACCGTCAGGATTCAGGGTCCCGCTGACGGACAGGGGGTCCATGTCCTCTGGGAACAGGGACTTATGGGTAAATGTGTCACTGACGCTTCCATCATCCATAACCTGAAGAGAGTCAGAGGGAGAAGGAGGGATTGATGTGTGCTGCTGGTGAGGGAAGGAGGAGATGATGAAAAGAAAAGGTCACGGAGCACCGGAGGACGGGAGGAGGAGGAGGAGGAGGAGGTGAGAAGAGCAGCAGGGTGGAGGAAGGCGGCGGGGTGAGAACAGAGGGTGAGAAGCAGTGAAAGAGGAAGAAGCAGAGAGGTCAGAGCTGCTCAGCTGGTGGAAAAACAGGAGACAGAAGAAAATGAACACTGACTGGATCTCTGTGAAGATGATGTGTTGCTGTAACAGGGCTTCAGGGTGAGGTGAACACTTGTGGATTTTTGCCAATTTGTCTGCTGACCCCAGTTAAAGGATTCTCCTCCAGAGCAGCAGAGGCCCTTCCTACTTCTCCTGCTGCTCTCTCACCTTCTAAACATGATGAACGTCGAACCGTGGGAGAAGACGGAGAGCGAGGAGGCCGGACAGACGGACGGACAGCTCGTCAGCTGATCAGCTCAGAGAACATGTCTGAGGCCGACGTGATGGATTCATGGTTCCCTGTGAATTTACCGTGGAGTCGATCAATCACTGTTGGTTTGTGAGGAGACACTAATGTTGTCTTATTATGTGCGGTGGCATGAACAGGACAGCTGCAACTAATGATATTTTCATTATTGATTAACTCAGTGGTTCCAACCATTTTTGGCTGAAGACATTAATTAATGTCCACTTTGGACTCATATTACCGCTGGTGGCAGAACTTCGGGCCTTTATCCAGTCTGAGCAGCGACATCATCTGAATATCTGGAGCTGTTTTATAGCTGCACTCTTAGATATCTGCGCTGCTTTTTACGGTTAAATACGGTACTTTTGTTACTTTCACTTTGCAGCTACAGACGGGGAGAAACAAAGGAAAAGGCTGAACCCTGGACCCCTACAGTGGGTCTATGAGCCCCCTTAAAGAGAACAGATCAGTACAGAGTTGACATTTCCGTCCTGGTGGTCTCTTCCAGGACGCCTCCATCCACAGAACACAAAGGCTCAGTGAATGGTTCGATAAGAAACGTGATTCATATGATGTGACCAGATCCCAACCCAACATCTACGAGAGATTCTGGACGTATCGCCGTCATTAAAACGCCAAATGAGGCAACAGCTTTTTATAGACTGATGCTCAAACCTGCAGCAGAACTCAATAAATGCCGAGAAACAATCTCTCCACCTGCCTGTATCTCTCACAGTTAGTTTGCAGACTAACATTTAAACATACGATCAGTTTATGTAACGTGAACCAGTCAGCGTTCTGTAAAGTCGGTAAAATGCTGCTAACTTGTTAATGCATCAGGTGGTATAATGTACCTAATGACATCATGCTCAAGAAAGTATGGAATCACAGGAGTGCCATAATAAAAAATAAATCTGTTTTTTTTTTTAAAAAAGGAAATAAATGTGTAAATATAAACAAATTTAAAGAATATGGAAATATAAAGATAAGTTTTATCTTTGCTTTTCCCTCTTCTGTTAGTTTTTTCCTTTTCCTTTTCTATTGCTTTTCCCATTTTGCCTTTGTTTTTACTTGACGGACTGAGCTGCCAATCAAATGGCTTTGGGCGGGGCTTCAATCTTCAATGTGACGTTTGTGCATTTGCAAATTGTGTCATGTGTACTTCCTCTCAGCGGCAAGGTGACGTCACTTCCCTTTAGCCGTGCTAGGAGCTAGCTAGCTACTCACCCTGGACAGAAAGCCCCGCCCAAAGCCATTTGATTGACAGCTCAGTCCATCCAGTAAAAACAAAGGCAAAATGGGAAAAGCAGCGACAAAAGGGAAAAGCAAAAACCAAACTGACCTTTCTATTTCCATATATTTTAATGTTTTTATTTACTCTTTTATTTATTCCTCGTTATATTCACACATTTATTTCCTTATTTTTTAACAGATTTATTTTGTTTTACTTTGGCACGCCTGTGATTCCATAAGAACGCACCATTCTAGAAAAGCAGCATTTTATGCACATAGTTAAAGTTTTTATGTATTTATATTTCATAGTCCTAAAATTTTTTATGGCAAGTTAACAGTACATTTAAACTGAATAATAATCTGATTATCTCCTCTGCTCCGTAGATGTCCTGGCCTTAGACCCTCAGAGACCTGAAGAGGAGACCCAGTGTTTCACAGGATAACTGCACAAAAATAGAGAAAATACAGAAATAAAACACACATTTATAAAACTAAACTATAGATTTTCTATCTGATCTTCTTTAACTGCCTGATGAAGCCTCAGAAAAATCTCAGGATTCGTTCCTCTGAGATTTAAAACTCAATCGAAGTGACTCGTCAGTTGCATTCGTCTTCTTAGTGTTAGAAGTCACGTTAATGCCATTAAAGCTTTGAGCAGATTTCACTGATGATCCACCTGCAGGTCTAAAGATGATTCTGTGACGCGAACCGCACAGAAGAAACAAAACAACCTCAGATGCCCTCATCAGCGTGTCAGTCAGACAGCAGACCTCTGACTCATCTCCAGTCCAACACTCCAGACATGTTCATGTGTTCTCCGTTGGTTCTCCTTCACACCCTCAGGAGAACAATAGGGCACCTTCTCCTGATTTACCCTCACACACAGAAACACACACCTTCTGGGCGTGGATGACGACGTGGTGGTTGTAGGCCATCACCACCACGTCATGCGGCTCGAACTGGCTGACGTCGGCCGACAAGTAGTAGCTGTCTCCCAGACGTCTCACCCCACCTGGACTGGACTGCCGGCCCGTCACAGCGCCACCTACAGGAGCTGTGAGGGAAAAGAAGGATGTTCACATGGTTGGTAACACGTAGAGCAACGATATTAACGAGTGTTTTATCAGCAGAAATGCGTTAAAGAATGACAGAATGACTTTGTAGGTAAAATGTGAGGTACAGTGCTAAACAGATTTATTTATGCCCTAAAGTAATAGCATTGGGTTTTGTTTTTTTCAGGTTTCTGTAATGGTTAATACATGATTTTTAAAATTTTTGCACAGTGACATAAAATGATCTTTTCCATTATCGTTCTATTGGGATTTTTTAATATATATACATACATTCATTCAGCAGGGTATAGAATGCATAGATTTGAATCAAAATAATATTTTTAATGCTAAAATGTAATTATTTTTGTTACCCACAAATTTTCAAATGTACTATTTTACAAAAAAACCCCTGAGAAAATAGGAACGCACGTTATTATTCCTTGATAAAGATGTCAAATTACAGTTATTCACTTGCATTCCTGAACAGAAATATTAACTTTAGTGCTTCGTGTCCCGGTGAGGACACCCGGGATCTTCCTGCGTGGAGTCTCCATGTTCTCCCCGTGCAGCGTGGGTTCTCTCCGGGTTCTCCGGCTTCCT